CCGCAGGAGTATGGCGCTTGGCTTGCCATTTTCTATGCATTTGCAAGGCAGTAAGCGAGTCACTGCTGCTCCATAGAGGAGACGAAAACGCGGCACGAGTGTCAGCGATTCGCAATATTCTACATGTTTGAACCTTGTGGCGACAGAATGGCAGAAGCAGTTTCATTTTTGCAGGTGTCACTATCTCTGTCCGCCGTTTTGTTGTTCACACTAAACAGGCGCAAGCCATGACGCTGATGCCAAATGCACGCTACAGCTGCGAGAAAATATTCAGAAGAATTATAATAATGTCATGCCATATATAATGTAATATAATGTGCTTCGTGCTTCATATTTTCACTTTTTTGACAGACACGAAAGCGGGAGGTCCTTTTCATTAAAAGATGACGACCAGTTCCGCTTGCCCGATTCCAAAGATCGCCAGGTTCCCGGTCTATCTTCGTGGGAGTCGTCGTGAGATATTCGAATGTATTTACCCCCGAGAATGGCGCCCCTGAAACGAGAATGGCGACAAACGTCTACAAACCTTTGACCCCAGGGCGGCTGCTTTTCTCGGCCGTATTTCGACCGGATTTTTTTCACAATCGCCGGCTGCTCACCCCCTCTCCAATTGATACTGCGAGACTTGCAGAGTTCTTCTAGTCTCGGAGATAAAGGCAACTTGAATCCATCATTTCGCATTTGTTTGATTCGGATCTGCTCGCGGGTGAGAACAACTTCTACTATATTTTTATTATAATTTATATAGTTATTTACAGGGTGGAAACGATACATAATTATAGATCTACGAAGTTAACTACTTGTAGAAGACAATTAATGATAAATATGCTATGGGAGATGTATCTGTTTCAACTGGGCATAAGGAAAAACTCTTTTGGTGCCGACGAGAAGGTAGGACCTCTATGAGTTAGTATATTGCCTTTGATATATCATGTTGCCCCCATGATGCTTAATGAAACAAGGGATGTATTTCATGTACACTTCTATGGAACTCGACTCACGAGTCCGTTTCGTCTACCCGTACCGCGCCTGAGGTGGGCAAGGGTTGCCGCGAATTTACTACGACTGCCTAAAACACTCACCAAGGAATCCCCTCGCGCAAACGCCTCCTTGTAGGTGAACAACTGCCACGGTGCTGGCGTTGAAAGTATGAAGAAGCACTTCAGCATCTTTTCAATCAATTAATCGATCAATCAAGTGTCACCACAGCCCATACTAGAATAGTTTTTACATCTATAGTAAGCGGACACAGAAGTCGATGCGTACTCTCACTATTCTTTACACATGTCGCGCTGATGTAGAAGGCTCTTCAACTACTAGGCTAATGAATGTTGTAGTCCTTCCTAGTAGTAGTCCTGGTCTTGGCTAGTTGCTAGGTGCCAGTTGCCATTTACATTCAATTGATGTGCCCACACAAATTCATTATGAAGGATATGGCAACAAATATTTTTCTCTCTTTCCTCCGTAATTGATGAGAGGCAACGAAAGCGTAAATTATACTTAACCCTGAGGTCGAAACTTTCACAGATACATCGTTAATTAGGTCACAGAGAGCATTTGGGGTACTTGCCTGACTAAGGCCTTCAATCCTTTAGATGTTTAACTACTCACTTGTCCTAGTCCCATTTCTATCATCTTGGCTATTCTAGAACTTGAATAAAAATGGTAGTTACAGATGACAAGTGAAAGAACATAATATTTGTTCGTTTGTTTTCGTGCGCTCCGGGCGACGCGTACGATCCCGCCGGATTTCTTTGTGCTCTGTGTGTGTTGTGCTATGGTCGTCCATAAATGCCTACAAATATTTTCCTCCATGATTGGTGTGGTAGGCTTTTCGGTAGCATTTGCCGCTCCTCCAGGGGACGGGACTTTCTCTTGAATTGTAGAAGTCTTAGTTCTTTTCATTGTAGTGCCAGTTTTCTCTTCACAGCATTTTCTCTTCGCAGATGAGTACTTCTTTGTTTTTCTTTTTTCTCGCCTGCCTCAGAGATAATTCATTTTTCTGGCCTGCCTCAGCCGAAATACGAGAAGCTCCGAAAAAACGAAAAATGGAAAAAACAGAAAATGCAGAAACACACTGAGAAAGAAAGTAAAAGCGTCGCAGGTAGGACGATATTCGAAGATGAGGAACATCATGAAAGGTAATTCTATTTTATTACCATGTCATCAACAGAACTTCGATTGCACATTGGAGTTCTTCGCCTACTCAACCGGGCTGGCGAGAGTATCAAAGTCTACAAGAGCCGAAGAAAATAGCAGTACTCTTCATCTAGGTTCCTTTGCTGCTAGAAGAAAGAAGAGTGATCCAGGCCTAACACTTCTTTTAGATTCAAATTAAAGAGTAGTCTAGGTCCAGCATTTTGAGCTTCAGATTACTTCAGGGACTCACCGCGAGTAAAAAACAAGCATCCAATCTCCTTTGTTACATGAAAAGCCGAAAGGGATGCAGCTCGAGGGGAAAAACGCCGCTCGGATAGGAAGATCCTGTCAAAGAAACAGTCTGACTCGGTTCCAATCAACATCCAGTTTGCCAAAGCCCACAGATCATGTCCAATTTTCATTATTGGAACAACTCCGTAGTTGCGTAGCAGTTGCATAGTGGCTGCCGGGTGGTTGCGTAGTAATTGCGCAGTTGCGCACACCGTCGAAGAAGCGAAACGAATCTACTTATAAAAGAAATGGCGAAAGTTCCATCCGAAAAAAAGGCGCATCAAATGAGCAAAGAGGATTGAATGAGCCCTGCGCGATATGACGGCCCGGCGCCTGTGTCATTTGTTCGACCACAAAAAACACCAAAAAAGAACGACTCGGACGATATAAAGCAGCGTCCACAGGCTTCAACAACTCCGTGCGACTGCGTTTCTCTTTCATCAATCGAGACCCGCCGCAGCCTGGTGTCGTTTGTTCTCGTTTCCTTCATATCTTTAGAGCCCAACGAGGGTGGCACCGAGGACACCGTTCACCCTCACTGCTTGGACTACGTCTTCGTGGTCGTTGCGGATAGTCGGCTATTGGGGTACTATCCCGGCCCTTTCGGTGTCGGTCTCTTTGACTCTGTTTCGAAGGACAATCAAGTGGCTTGGAATAGCATACCTGGGGACGCTTTTAACGATGCCATCAAATTTCCAAATGGGGGGAAGAACGGCTACGAAGACCGACCCATGCATGAGTACCTAGTCGAATTCAAAAAGAAGACCCATTATTTTGTTGTGTGAGTATCTAGTCGAATTGGGCTCCTAGCTGGCTTTCCTGGATACGTCCTCCCGAACACTAAGAACGCTGGATGACCATAAACTAATGTTACGCACTCTTTCTAGATGGTGATCCTGAAGTCTGTTGTTCTCATGTTGTGAACCGCTTCAAGCTTTTGCGTCTGTGGAGTGACGAAGCCCCGCACAAATTCTGCACGCAGCGCCAATAACAAAGTCATAGTCTAGATAGTAGTCCAACAACATGGCCATCAATGTAAAGGGCTAACACCATCAGTATCACCGGAGTAGCATGGGCACTACCATGACTACCAGCATTCGCCGGAGCTGCCTCTGCTGGTTCGTCCTCCCGAACTCGAAGGGCGTCAGCATTAGGACCTGGCAAAGCATCGAAGGCGTCGTAAATACAGACTAGTTGTCTCATTAGCGTACTCAAAGAAGACACAAAAGAGGAAAGGGCACAGCAGTGTGCCTCCCTGGTCCTGTTTCGGGACCGAGGGAGACGCTTCGCTAAAAACCGCCAGTGATTTTTGAACATTGTACAAGTAACTAACGATTAGAAGAAGCAAATGAAATTGTACAGCATCAAATAGATAGAAGCCCGCACGCCCAAGGTAATCAAAAAAATAGGGAGAAGCGGGACAGGAATCTTCACTTGAGCGTTCGCGGCGCAATAAAGTTCCATGCTAAGATCTCCATTGGCCAGTATAAGAATCCAACTGCCGGTAGGAGTTCCAATATAATGTGTCCTAAGGTCCACGAAGTATAGTATCTTATGTAAAGATCAGATTTGTTCCACGCTTATGTTACTTACAAGATCAAACGGGTTCCACACATACGGCAAACAAGATCTTTACAAATTTCCGATGATAACAAGAGAAATACTGAGGGAAAGAGAAAAGTTGATTAACTTAGGCTTTACCCCCCCTCCACATCTTCTGTCAGGAATTGATCGATCTCTTTTCTTTCTGAGTATCTTCGCATTCGTTTGAAAAAAATCGCTACTAATGGAACAAGTACAATAGTACTAAATTTTTCAACTACATACTTGTATTTCGAACTCAATTTTTATTTTCGTCTCAGTTTTCAATCATTGCATACTCAAAAGGGGCTATTCCGTAGTCGCGTATGCAGTCACTGATAAAACAAAACTATTCGTGTTTTTTTTATTGATTTTCATTCCATCAATTAGCAAGGACGGAAAAATCATGGTGCGTTTTTTTATCAGCCTTGTGGGAGGACTTCTTGTGACATCCGCAATTGTCCCCACCGTCGACGCTACCAAGTTGACGGGCCGTCGCAGGAGGAATACCGCGATCGGTTCCGCTAGAGTAGTGGAAGGGGGCAGCGCGTCCTCGTTGAACGAAGGTGCTGGAGGACGGATCTGCTTTTCTGAGTCGCAACTCGTAGCCGCGTTGCGATTTGTCGAAGTCAAATTGACACGGAAAGCTCATTTGATATATGGCCCAGAAGCAAAGACCTCGCCTGCCGTGATGAAAATAATAGGTATATTACTTCAACGACACACAACCAGAGAGGAGGAGGCAGATGTTGGCCGACCCATTCTGAAAGCTGAAGAAGATGTCGTTCTTTCCGCTCATGCAGGTCGTGACGAGCTTGTTCTACCCTTTCTACCCGGTCTGGGTCTCGAGAGTGGAGTGATGTATACTCTGAAGAGTGAAGTGAAGCGTTATGAAGTAGCTCACTTGCGTGAAGCCCAGGAGAGCTTTGAGGCGCGCTTGCAAGGAGCTCATGGGAATTTAGGATCTCGGCGTTGTCCATTTAAAAGATCTTTCGTCGAGCGTATGGCGCGTGTCCGTCTCTTACCTTTGGAGGAAGCTTGGACGGAGGCCGAATGGAAAGGACATAATGAGAATCGCAGAAAGAAATTCCTGCTCCCCCGCCCCGAAGAGGGGGACATCGAGTATTCTTTGTGGGACCTGCTGCGCGCGCGCAACCAACTTGCAGGGAACTCTCCATCACCACTACATAGAACGAATCAGCCTTCAACACAGAATACGCCAAAGGAGACTTTGGTGGCGGAGATGTGGCGGAATCATATGAACGGAGAGGAGGATGCGGCAATGGAGGCTTTGGTGGCGGAGATGTGGCGGAATCATATGAAAGGAGAGGAGGATCGCGAAATTTCCCTGAAAGTCAACGGGCAACTCAGGTTCAGGCCGCCGCCGGGTCTTTAAGGTCTCGAATTCTATGGATGAATCTATAGATTAAGCGCGAAAAATGAATGGGGCAGTGCATGACGACTTCTATGGTTGCATAAGTAGCCACGTTTTGTGCCCTTCTTTGTTGTAGCGGTTGTGATTGAAGGGTCGTGATTGAAGTAGATGATTATGCATTTGAATTAAGACCATTACTTACAACACCATGTTCTTCAAGTAGGGATATTTACTATATTCCATATATCTGGAGAGAAAGACGCCTCCTGAGGTGTAAGTATAAGAAGAAGAAGTACCGAAGAGAAAAGTAGAGAGCAAGATTAGGAGGAAATTATTCGACATTCCTCGTGTAGTTGCATCAGAGTTATTGACCGTATTTCGGTTAGTGTGGAAGCAGCATAGAATGATCGACCGTATTCGCGAAGTTGTTGAATTAGCTGGCCCTGCTTAAAAGTCCGTCAAGTATTAACAGTTACCGAGTATAAGAGCAAGCAAAATACTTACGCAAAATGCTTACTCAGCTGCAAAAAAAAATGAGTCATGCATTTGAATATGAATGCCAATGTTACATCAGATACGTATGAAAACCAATGGTGGATCCTGGGCTGTAAGCTTTGGGAGTTCTCAGTGAGCTGCATCAATATCTTTCATTTCGCGAACATCTGTTACTTCGAAGTGCTCCGTCACTTTTATAGAAAATCTGTTACGTCGCAAAAAACTCGCTATTCTGTAAATATCTGTGATGTTGAAAAATGAATAGAAGTGCTGTCGAGTCGTGTCCTCGCAATTGTATCTGTTCGTCGGTGTGATTTGACGAGAAAAGATTGAGATTGCTGCCGGCTTCGATGGGTTTTGTTCTCGTCCATCTCAATCGGCTTCATCGTTTCTTTGTCCCGCAGCCATATTGTTGCGCCCATCCCCCGCCCCAAAACGCCGCGAAGTACTTTCGTTCTCCAACTACCCATCGATTTCAAGATTTTTGAATTTGTCGATTTCCTTCCTGGTCGATTTCCGATAAGTAGTCTCTGCCGGACCTAATTCGTGTTGAGATACGCGTGGCAGCACACACTTTAACTATCCTGTGAAAGAATCTGACACTTCGAATCACAAGATGGGGGTTTTGACGCGACTTCTAACGTTTTTGGAAGTAAGACTTGGTGCTTTTGCATTTATCAAATATTGAAAAAACAAGAAGATGTCGCACAGCAGGAACAATTGAAATGAATACAGCCCGTCCCCGCAGAAGCTGAAGCGGCAGCGGCACATGCAGCGGGCGCCAAAGCTAGTACGGCCGCCGCGGGTGAGAAGGATGATGAAAAAAGTGATGATGGGACGTTGACGCCGCGCGCTCTTCTTTTTGAGGACGACCCCAAAGATAAGGCGATTGAGTTAGATGACAATATACTCGCCGATGCACCCGCAAACTCTAACGCAAAACTCTTTGGAGAAGCGAGGCAGATCTGTAACGCAATGGGGAAGTTGGAACAAAAGGGGCGTAAGGAGGTGGTTATCCATGACAAGTGAACATAGTGATAGTTTTCAACCTTCTTTTTCTCGTTTCATTTTGGCTTGTGCTAGGCTCCTTCATGTATGTTGATGTATCGATACTAAGTACCCGGAAGAACATGACTTTTGTTGGTGTTGGTAAGGAGCAGTACCGCCTACCATCGACCGCCGACAAGAAACTACAGCAGCCGCAGCAGCAGGCCGAAAGTAAATTTGAGGAAGACGATGAGGGTCTCCTTGATGAGAACGAAGCGCAAGTAAGTCATGAGGAACAGATCAAGAACAATCAAAAGCTCCTCAAAACAAAATTTCAAAAAAAAATTTTCAAAAACTCTGAAGCAGCTGCAAATGCTTCGAGAGCTCACTAAAGTATGAGCTGACCATCGGAAATATATAGATTATATTTCAGATGAAGTATATACATCCGGACACTTATCCTGATTCAAGAGGTATATCTAATCTGTGGAAATATCATAAATATTTACATCTGGATCTAATGCTGTTTCAAGAGCAATCTATTTACTTGTGGAAATAATATTTACATCTGGATCTAATGCTGTTTCAAGAGCAATCTATTTACTTGTGGAAATAATATTTACATCTGGATCTAATGCTGTTTCAAGAGCAATCTATTTACTTGTGGAAATAATATTTACATCTGGATCTAATGCTGTTTCAAGAGCAATCTATTTACTTGTGGAAATAATATTTACATCTGGATCTAATGCTGTTTCAAGAGAAATCTATTTACTTGTGGAAATAGTATTTACATCTGGATCTAATGCTGTTTCATGAGCAATCTATTTACTTGTGGAAATAATATATACATCTGGATCTAATGCTGTTTCAAGAGAAATCTATTTACTTGTGGAAATAATATTTACATCGGGATCTAATGCTGTTTCAAGAGGTATATATGCGGGTCTTGAGCCCCACGACATACACAACAACTCGTGGAAATTATGTATACTTACGATGATCATAGAAAGGGGGGTCGCTGGACTTCATCATTGTGCAGGAATGTGTGAAAGTCGCGAAGAAGTTCCCGGATCTGGTCAAAAAGAGAAGAGAAAAAATGTTGAACAGAGAGACCGTGCGTCACGTTGGGAAGGCTAGGTTCTGTCGTAGTGTTTTTGCTGATTTCAACTTTCGGTAATAATGGTCATGAGGTGGACGAGGGTGTTTGACCTGTGCGCCTCCATTGTGCAGGCTGGGCGCGCGTCCTGAATCCGCCCGCGCTTGGGCTTGCGCTCCCACGCGCAGCACCTGAACGGGGCCGGCGCTATTGCGCTCCCGCGCGCGCTTCTCTCCCAGGGCGCCACTGCACTGGCCTCCCACGCGGTTGTCCACGGGGTTCCGCACGCGTGTCCGCCTCCCGCGCGGTTCCCGTTCTTTTTGGGCGGCGGCGTCCCTTTTGGGCGGTCCGGTCCCCGACGGGCTGACGACTTGCACGGACTGCCGCGGCCTGCGCTTTCCCCGGGGCGCCCGGGCTTTCCAAAGCTTTGCCGAAAGGACTCCTAGAACAGCGGGGCCTTGGAGCAAAGGGCCACGAGCTGCCACCCATGGGGTCGAATTCGGGCCTGGTTCTCCAGGCGTGGAAGCCGGCCGGCGATACGTGGATGGCTTGCGCGGGCCGCCGTAACTTGCCTGCCCCCAAAAGAGTCCGAACACGAACACTTTTGAAGACTTTGCCGGAAGAAGTCCCAGGGAAGGCGGGGCGCTTGCTCCCTTTGCGTCGGCGCTGTTCCGAGTACTCCGGCACGGGTCGCCATGCTCACATGTGCCCGCCGCTGCCCTTCACATTCGTGGCGACTGCGCTGCAACGGCCAAGAACGCCACGACCTTCTGCGACTTCTTCCGAAAAAGTCGCAGGAGGGCCCGCTCGCTGGCAGTGTCGTGCGGCTCTTTGCTACTCAGGAGCGAAGGGGGCCGGCTTTTGTCCCAGAGGGCCACGACAGCGGGCGGCCTAGCCCCTGCCCCCCGTTCCCCGCGTGCCGCTCCTCTCCACAAGTGCCAGCGCGCTCGACGTGCAGCGGAGGCTGCCCCGTGGGCCCCGCATGCAGTGCAGCCGCGGAACCGGTCCCACCGAAGCGAGCGAGCAGCCCCGCCCGCGTTTTAACTTCGGTCCGCTGTGGTCCCGGTGCTGACAGATGGGCACACGGTTCGCAACTGTCCTTGCGCTGTTCCATTCCCCCGCGACCCCGCGGACGGCTGCCGGCCTCTCTGCCTACCCTCTTCCAATCCGCGCTTGTACCCCTCTACAGCGTTTTACCCTGTGAAGCCAGCTGCGGGGGCGAGCCGCTTTGTCTTCCCGGCATTGTGCTCGCGGCTAGGTGGAGTAAGAGAAAGAGAGCAATACCCCGTCTCTGTTCGGCGGCCTGCCGAAGCGACAGGAAAGCCAGCCAAGCATACTCGGAATCATGTATTTTCTCAGATCATGCCGTAGAGAGGAAGTACCATGAGGGGCGAATTGAATGCTTGCCTCCTTGTGATGATGCTGACCGGAGTTTGTAGAAAATTCACAACTACTAATCTCGCCAGTCCTAGTTGTACATCTTAGTACATCTTAGAAATATGTGCGACACGTCGGCACAGGAGGGTTGCGCGTTCTTCAAGTGAATTACTGCAAAGCGACCTCCCGACAGGAATGCGACCTGGTGATGCCACCAGTGTGATTGCATCATACTGGCCGTGAAGCGACTATGAATCTTTGACGTTTCTGTGGCACGACGATGGAATTTGAAAACAGTTGCGATTGGGAAGGGTACAAGCGTGACCTTTTCCCGAATTCAACCCATTCCATTCTCCTACAGCCATTCTACATTGTGGCTCCAGTATGAGATTGATGTCCTTTGCCACTACCTGAAGTTGATGCCCATGATGTCCTCTGCCACGACGACTGTTGGAACAATGTGAGATTGGTGTCCGCTGCAATGTCATTGATGTCAGAATGAGGTTGCTGTCCACCTCTGCCACGACCACCTCTGTCCTCGCTGCACCCTCTTAAAAGTAATCATGGCGTCTGCTTACCAACCGGAGGATGACGGGGTGGCGAAAGCCGAACCCTGGCGATTCGTGAACCGGAGAAGGATCTACTTCCACCGTCTGCTAGGCGATGAGGATTCCATATGGAACGCAAGTGGCGGCATTGGCAAGCGGGAAGGGCTTCTACACAGTTTCGTGGCTCTCTTCTACGCGGTGCTGTTTATACGGACAGTTTGAGAAAAAAAACAGTGTCTTTTTAGAGGATTAGCTTTCTTGTTAATATTGTTGTTAGAAGGTGGAAGGAGCGAGCGACAGGTTTCACCCTATTGATAAAAAGAGATGCTGGTTGTAAGATTTTTTCCTCCAGCCGTGATCGTTGATTAATTCTAGACTTCAATCATCATCATCAACCTAGAACTATACGCAAATCGAACAGACGAGATAGATGTGAATCAAGTCATTCTTTCTAAGCAAATCGAACAGACGAGATAGATCATTCTTTCTAAACTCTGTCATCCTAGTATCGAACCGCGCAGACGTAAATGCGAGATTCGAAGTGAATGATGCGGTTTTGACCGCGCTTGAGAATTCTCCTCTAGACGCTGGTCCCCCGAAGCGACATTTTGCCGATATACGTTATGCTTTGCTTTGGTAATGTTTTGTTGACAACAAGATCAACGCAAAAGATTTTAGTCAACGCAAAAGATTTTTTTCAACGCAAAAGACTTTTGTCAACGCAAAAGATTTTAGTCAACGCAAAAGATTTTTGTCAACGCAAAAGATTTTCCACCGTTCATGGTCACGATATGAACGACGTGCTGCAGTGGTTGTCCAGTAGTTTCCTTCCGCACGCCACTGCCTTGCCGCCACGAAGCAAAGACCTGGCGGTCCGTAGTAAAAATCAAATCATCCCTCTCTACCAGTCCTCAGTGCCACAGATACGGCTGTCGGTGAGACGAGCAAAACTCAATGCGAACGGGAACGAAAGAACAAAAAAACTGTTTCCATCAGTGTGGAGCTTTTTTGATTATGGCTGGAGATCGAGACGTTGGACTCGGATTTATTCTTCGAATCTTGTAAATTATTAGTTATTATTCTTATTTTGTAAATACTCGGAGTTATCATTCTTATTTTGTAAATACCTCCACGCTAAAATGGTAAACTATGATGTCTACCTCTAACTTCCACTCGACATCGACTCGGAAGACAAGGACACAAGTTCTATCGAGAGTACAGCAACAATCCATAGCAGCTACGTCTACGATGGTATTCCCAGAATATCGGCTGCCGCTGAGATGGCAAACGGAATCATTGGCAAAACGGTCCAGGGAACGCAATACATAAATTGGCCAGACGTTGTATGTTGACAAGAAAATAAAGTCTGTAGTACTCACCCTCAACGGCGTGAAACTAGGCACGTTTATGAATTTTTTCCTAGGAAACAAGAACAGGTTCGTTATAATCTTTTCTTGACACCAGTACTACTATGTGAAGAGTACACCTCCACTTTTTCCTCGTTTGTTCATTGACAGTACTATGTGAGTAAGTACACCACTTTTTCGTTTCATAAGTTGTGCGTGGCAACCGCGTCTATATAGACTGGTATTACTCGAAAGAAGGGGCTTATCACAATCGCGGTGGCTATGTCGCATTGCTGCAATTGGAGTATGAAACGACGGCGATGCAAACCTTGCGCAACGAATTCGTCACTGACGGACAGAGAAAACTGGACGAGAACAGTGAGAAAATAGTCGGGCAATTTATGTTGAAACGAATAGAAGCTACTATGTATCATTTCTATCTCTACTCCCGTTCATTTCGTCTTCTATTTTCTATTGACGAGGATAGGAGCTCCACGACCACAAATTCAATCGGGTAGTTTTCGATTCGTGGACGAAAGATACGATTTAATTTATGAAGATAGTGGGTTTTGGCTTCATACAGTTTGGCGTCATCTTGGTGAAGAACGACAAGAAAGCTGGAGAAGAGCAACAAAATGCAGCACCCGAAGTGTCGCAAGAAATGAGTTTGAAAAATTTCGGACTCGCAAGCTTAGTGAACCATCCAGAGACGGCTGCCTGTATCATCGACTTTGTAACGTACAATGCGGAGCACAACGCTTTCACCTATGTGGTTGCGCAATTCACGATGACCAGTGCGGGAACACTCGGGTCGAAGAAATTAGATGTGGATACAATACTGCTGAACAAAGCTGGACCTTGGGTAGACTTGTTGGATCTGGTGGTGCTGATAGCGGGTGTCTTTTACACGTTGGTGTTATGGCAATATCATTTTTCTTTTTGTGCATTGGCACTCAGGGTGTGAGAACAAAGGGACGACTGACTGGGCAGCACCGCGTATACACCTGTAGCACCAATTACCCAGGATCAACCTTATGTCTCACGAAAAGAGTCTCTAAATCTCTTCATCCAGCACCTAAAAAACGAATTGCGGAAGGCAGAAAATGTACTAGGGATCTTTTTGAAGAAGCTGTTTGGCGATGGGTGGAATTGGGTGGAAGCTATTGCTTTGTTTGGCATATACGGTTCCATTTTCGTCTATCAGTCTGCACGCATGCACTTGGACACAGTGTGCAGGCTTGCAGGGTGTGACACTTTGAATTATGAGATGCTGACTTATTGTTTTGAAGTAACGCGTACCGTGAAAGTGGATCCTTAGTTGATCATCTTCTTGCTTGAATGTCGCTGCAGTAAATTGCAGAGCACTTCCGGTACTAGAGTGTTTCTAAGTACTTGCTTGAGCAGCAATCTCTTGGAGGGGAAATCGGGATAAGTCTCCAGCTCTAATCTGCACTCACCGCCGACCGTTGGGGCACGCCCTTTGTGACCCCAAATGTTAGTGTACAGGCGATTGTGAACTTAAGGGTTACCACATTGCATTCTTCACTACCTCCATCCTTGACTTTTTCTCCAGTAAAGGAAAAGGGTCACCAGGGATGATCTGCGGAATGCAATGTCGCAACGCAACCACCTCTAATAAACACAGTAGCACAGGTGCAGAGCTACGACCGAATTTCAGGAGTAACGATGCTCTTCCTCTTCGTCAGGATACTTCGCAGTCTGAAAGACGCAGTGCAAAGAATAGAACTTTTGGACACCACTTTACAGATAGCCCTTCCTGCGATGTTGCGGTATCTTGCCTTCACGGGGATCATTTTCTTCGGCTTCGTGAATATGGCTGCCTTGAGTTTCGTGTCGTATACGCATGAATTCTCGGATCATCCTAGTACGGCAGCTACACTTCTCTTGATGGTCCTAGGCAAATTCGACGTGATGGCGAAAGTGGAAGACTCGCCGCTTGCATTGGCGTTTTTCGTGCCTTTTATTTATGGCAGGAGTGATGTTGAAGCGAAATTTTTTAGATGTGGAAGCAGAACGAGAACTGAAACAAGTTAATGAGAAGTACCAACACTTGTAGTTGCTCCTGCAACAACTAGCGATCACACGCAGAGGACCACTAATTGCTCTAACACCCGCTCTTTTTCTACGTCATCTCCTTGCAGATGTTCAACGCTATTGTGAATCAGAGTTACAATAAGGCTTGCGTCGACTTGCAGAGGCAGTTCGAGTACGAGAATATTGCGAAGGCGAACGACACCAGTCCCAAAGGTCTCAAAGGACTGATCATGATGGCGGTTTATGAAGCCATGTTGGATACCATGAGTAATCACTAAACGTCACGTAGAAGAAATCACGCTGCTGGCAGACCACGATCTAGTTGAAGCTGCTGTGTTGATTTCTGGTAGTCTGCTCGTCGGTTATGACTTGTCGTGGTAAAGTGGGGGTGAACTACTAGAAGGTTCAAGCAGTACAAGGTATCAAGCTACAACTGGCAGACCACTATCATTTTCTCGCAATTTAAGCTTCTCTAACCCGCGCAGGGTGCTCGCAAAATGGCTACTAGTAGTGTCAGTAAAGCTGCTGGCTATAGGAAGAAATCATCTTTGACTCAACTTGCCGGTTTGGCGGATAAGAAAGGTGGAAAGAGGAAGAAAAGCGGCGATGTTGCTAAATCCGACAGTCGAAAAGAAGGTAGTCGTAAAGAGAGCAGTCGAAAAAAGGATAGCGGATCTGGTGCAGCCGAAGTAGCACAGGCTGAGCAAATCGTCCCTGCCACCGCACAACAACACGGTTTTTTCGAACATACTGGTTTGCAGAATTTGGATAACGACACGAAGAAAGTCGTTCTGGCTTATCTGAGTGAGGACAAGGAAGGCGCAAAAACGGTAAGCAACATGGACATCGTTCTCTACTTCGTCTTCGCCGTCAGCTACATCTACTTCGTCAAGTCCTTTGTGAACGTTGGTGTGGGTTCAGGCCTCAAATCCTCTATCTCCTACGCGCTGCGGAACGAGACAGCAGGAATTACCTACGCAGATGGCAAGCCCTTGTTCAAAACATTAGACGATCTACGAAGCCTAGAGGATTTAGAGGAGTGGACGCGAGTTCTATTTCCGCAAATAGTATTCCAGAATGTGCCAGCTCCTTTGGCGTATAATCCTACAGTGCCGTCTACGACGATTGCGGTGGATAATTCTGATTATGGCCCTTGACGAGTGAAAAGAAGAACGAAATTTAAAGTCTTTCACTTGTGAAGATCATGCGTAGACGCAATGCTCAGACGGGACCGCTTGTTTCTACGTGGAAGAAAGATCGAACTTTTCCATGTGACAGATTATGTAGTCTACTGTCAGCGTCTTGTGGCTATTAGGAACGAAGAAGAAAGAACGCACAACATCAGTTCTCTATGGTTTTCCTCTAACTACCAGACACGCCGTCCAACTACCAATCCAAAGCTAGCGCACGATTGGTGAAAAACTTTGAAGTCGTAAATGGAATGGCTCCTTTAGAAGCTGCCGTGGCCGTAGACAGTGATACGCGGAATTCGCTTTGTCTCAATGGGTGGAACTGTGTCTATGGTCGTTGGTGAAGATGTAGCTTGAAGGTGATTGCTCGAGTCGATAATTTGGTGTAACTACACTACAACATGGCTTGGAGGATGTTATATTGCTATAATGCTTCGATATGATTTCAACGTCATGACTGCACCTTACAAAAAAATATTATTCATTCTCCCCTAACACGACCCCTAACCCGTAACCCCTAACCCGTGGACCTGTACTTGACCTTCCTCTAATCGTAACTGCATTATTCATTCGCCCCTAACCACCCGTAACCCCTAACCCGTGGACCTGTACTTGACCTCTAATCGTAACTGCATTATTCATTCGCCCCTAACCACCCGTAACCCCTAACCCGTGGACCTGTACTTGACCTTCCTCTAATCGTAACTGCAATCCAAGTTCTCCTTTGCCCGCATGTACGTCTACGAAACGAAGCGCGAGCCTGGCGCTACACCGTTTGTAGACGGAGAACTGTCAACGGCTAGACAAAACGCGTTGACTGGAGCTTGCGTCTACGAGTCAGCTGGATCTAATCTGTGTCAAGCGGGATTCGCAAGCTTTCCCTTTTGTTTCTACAGGGTGTTGGGGGCACCGGGGTGGGGCGATGATTGGGAAGAGGGGGAGAAGTATTCGATTGTTTATTTGTTTGTTTGTCATCGGGTATCGATGTTTCATTTCTTCTACAGGATAATATTTTTGTGACCACAAGCACAAATGTTTCTATGTCCGGCTCTCCTTAGGAAGTACTGTATTACTGGGTGGCCTCACAAGAATACACTTGTAGCTACGCAAGAGGTACCATGACATGACATGTACAGTACTAGACGTGGGCCTTGCTTGAGGCCATGATGTTTTGTCAATACTGGGATCTTCTTCTGATGTGTGAGCTTTACATTATCCTTTTCACTGTCCTAATTACAATCACTCAGCCGTTACGAGTGCCTCCTTCCTGCCGATCTTGCGCTTTTTCGGCAAGCCATAAACGCGTTTCAGAGACAGGAATTGATACAGCTGCACACTTCACGAGTGAACATCGCGTTTGTCACCTACAACGGCCACGTTGACACAATATTGGATACGGAAATAGATTTCAATGTCGCAAAGTCTGGTGCGGTGAGTACCAAAATTAGGTCTACGCCTTTCCAACTGTTTTCAACGCTGCAGAAGACGGAAGAAGGGGTGATCACGATAGCATCAGGCGGGATCTATGTGGCATTGAGTATGTACTTTTTGCTGCAAGAGTTATGGCTTGTTATAGTGTGAATAGCAGTATTTTTACCTAGAAGTAGACTAATAAGTAGTAACACTTTTGAAACCCCTTTGATAGAAGCACTTTTGCAGCACTTAAAGTAGGCACTTTTGAAACACTTAGGCGAGGCACTTTTGAAACACTTAAGCGAGGCACTTTTGAGGCACTGAAGGGGGCCAGTTTTGAGGCACGTAAGGGGCCGGGTCTGAGGCACCGAAGGGCGCCTCCTAACGGTTTCGGCCTGTCCACTAAATGACGGCTTCGCCCTGTCTCCTAACGGTTTCGCCCTGTCTCCTAACGGTTTCGCCCTGTCCCCTGACGGTTTCGCCCTGTCCGTTAACGGTTTCGCCCTGTCCCTTAGCGGTTTCGCCCTGTCCCTTAGCGGTTTCGCCCTGTCCCTTAACGGTTTCGCCCTGTCCCTTATCGGTTTCGCCCTGTCCCCTTATGGGTTTCGCGTGTGGCGGTTGCGCCTTGTCCGTTAACGGCTTCGAGTGCGACCTTGACGGGCTCGCCCCGCTCCGTCTCCAACTATCGAGTAAACCTTCCAAAATCAAACTCATAGTTGTAGCACACATGCAAACGAAAACACCAACACCATTCTTCTAAAACGAATCTCCCTCATTCGAGAGCGGATAACAAGGGGTCGCATCTTGGAGGATAAGCCATGGACAGTTTCCTTCCGCGAATTTTTCACGCAAGACCTGTTCAACATGCTAGACGCTGTCTCAATATGCATTTCCCTTGCAGGATTGGCACTGTACCTGGTGTTTCTGTTGGAGGTATGATATTCTTCTGCTGGCTCAGACTCAGAAGTTCTGATCATGATGACTCTTATCTACTAATTGCCGTTTCAAATCTATCATATGAATGTACCACTTATTTCAATTTGCTCTCAGATCTCAAGACTTCACTTTCTCTGTACCCAACTATCCCTCCTTCATCCCCCACCGCCGAATTCGAGACTGTCTACAAGCGCATCACGTGTGAGGGCCTTAGGCCAGCAGAGTGTCCAGAATTACCGCCAAATGACCCACTGTACGATTTGCAAAAATCCGATCCCCAGTATTACAAACTCGTGGATATCACGCAGAGTATCAGCGCGAAGAGCAAGTCGTATATTCGGGTGAGCGCGTTGAATATTATGATGAGAGTACTACAGGGGTTGTACTTGTAGCTAGTTAAGTTAGAAGAATAATTTTTTGCCGCGGTGTCCATACATTGTCTTCTGCTCTCCTCTGAAGATTACGGCTTCCGATCCTTTTGTAGTAGGCCTGCACAAAGTGGTACGACCACCTCATCAGCAAAGACTTCAATTTGAACTTCTAATAGACCCATGCTGATCGCCTTACGCATGTTGAAGTTCTTGCGGACGCAACCAAGGATGATCCGATTGAATCAGACTCTGTGGAACGCGCTTTCCGACACGATTTACCTCATCCTGATGGTTTTGATCGTCCTAGTCGGCTTCTCTTTTCAAGGACATCGCGTTTTCGGCTCAAAATACGAAAGACTAGCGGATCCGGTCAGCAGCTTTTACTTATGGTTGTTGGGACGAAACAGTAGCAGATGCTTCTTGTGCTAATAAAGACAATGAAACCCCAGTCGTGGGTGCTGCGGCCGTAATGAATGTCGGCATCCCATGATCCCATTATAGATCGGACACCTGGTCTAATCCTATACGTGATCGATTTTGTTGTTGGCAGTTTCGAGTTTTGGCCATTGCAGAGGATCGACTCGATGTTGGCAGTGTTTTTCGTTTTCCCCATGCTGTTTGTGTTCAAAGTGGTACTGTTGAACGTTTTCTTCGCCATCACCGATAGGTGGTACATCGTCGTCGTCAGCGAGGCGGATGAGGTACTTCCTTAGTATAATTTCTTTGCTGATGTCGATACACGAAAATGAATATGATTGCTTGCTGCATGGACTAGTCGCATCTTCACTCTCCAATATTACAAGCTTCATTGTTAAATTGTTGAATCCGTTCTTTTAGGAAGTACAATGCTACCAACAGGTGCCCGCCTTCAACTGGAAAGCCAAGTTGAAACCGTATTTGGGGAATATCCTCACTTTTATGGAGTGGGATGAGGATTTTCAGATGACCAAGGACCCCAACGCAGCTATCAAGCCCAAGCCGCCAAGCCGAAAAAAGGTTGTAGAAGACTTGAAGAAAGAATGCGCACGGATGCTGTCAGGCTTGAAACAGAGATTGCAAGCGCAGGGGAAGTTATGACGTTGATGGCGTTTGCTTATGTTTTCTGGGGAGTTGGTTCAAGATCATCATGTTTTGTAGATCACGGGTCGTTTCATCTTCGTACATGGAATACCGTAGTTGTGCCAAGAACCCTTTTGTTTCGCAAGCAATCAAATCTTTTCAGAAGGTACAACGAGGCTGAAGGACCTCCTTACTGCTTGACCACGTAGTGCCCGAGGTAACCTGACTTGACATCTCCCGTTCCCTTCTCCTCCCATCACTTCCCCTCCTTCATCGCCTCCCGTGAGCAAAGAGTTAGAAGCGCTTACTGTGGATAGCATTTACTGGCTCTTGGGTAGTAACGCGGAAGCGCAAGAAGGGATAGGAAAGGGCGCTGGTTTAGGCGGAGGGAGTCTACGGACGCTTCTGCCACCCTCAATGCACGATGACCGGGTCATGCAAGTTTTGTCGTGGTCCAAAACCGTGGTGAAGAGTTTCCTGGACAAGTATGGAGAACGGTTTTTAACTACGAAGAAGGGCGTACAGAAGGAGACTTTATGGAGTGTGAAAAGGGGTCGTGAGTGAAAAGAAGATTGTTGTTTCACGTGTGACATAGGTACTGTTGTGCACTCACTCAAGGTTTCCACTTACTCAAGCACTGATCGTCCTCCAACAGAAATCATCAGTTCTTCCCCTCATGAAGATAAGTCATCAGTCCTTTTCCACCTGTCATTCCCACGTGCCGACCCGCAAGGCGAAATTTTTACCCTACTCGAGTCCGAGATACGCACTGAGAAAGCGCGCGCCGCAATGCTAGAAGCGGAAGTTCAGAACGCCCAACGGGTGTTCACACGCGCAGCTGCCCATGACCAGAAGATTCTGTGTCGCTATATTTTAGCTTTAGAAGCGAATTTGGAATTATTGGCAGGTCAACGCACAGGCTTGGAAGTCCAAGTGGATGATCTGGAAGCGTTTAACAATGCCGAGGAAGAAGGTGGCGGAGGAGGAGGTGGCAGTGGAAGTGGTGCTACGTTGATGAGTGCTGGTGTTGGCGGGAGTAGTGGGAATCAGGGTAGGATGAGCCGAGGTGGAAGTGGGGAAACGGGGGCTACTAGAGGAACCAATCCCGCTGCTGGTGGTGAAGATGCAGCAGCAGGATCGCCTGGTAGTGCAGGCGGAGAAAAGGGTGCTCACGACCAGGCAGGAGGTGAAAAAGGCGCAGCGCATGCGGAGAATGGTGCTGGTAAAGCTGCAGAGCAGCCAGTATCTTATGGCTACAGGAAATCTAGATTCTCAGTTTGAAGATGTGAGCACTTCAATCGTAGAACAATCTCCACAACTCCTACTACCTCTTCTAAGCCCCCACCAACGCCAAGCAAGACAAAGTGAAACCGGCACCACCCACGCCGCGGGAACCACCTCCCGATGCGGGTGCGGAAGCAACTGTGCCCGTGGAAATGCGACATAGGCTTGCAGGTAGACGTGCGTTGTCAGACGTGTTGGGAACTCTAGACACGACAGCGAAGCGGATAGTGAGGGAATCTCTAGCACCTCCGACAGAAGACGTCTCTCCGGCAAGTCGGAAGAGCGGAAGTCCGGCTAGACCGAGTGGGCAGAAATGAGCACTGCTTGTTAGTTTTGCGCGTTTTTAGTGCCGGTAAACGGATATGAGGCAGTACTATCCGCGAAAACCGTCACGGTAGAGCTTTTACAAGTCAGTATACACCAGTTGGTTTGGCCTACAGGTGTAGAAGAAGTGTTTGATATTTTCCGGCATGCTCAAGATCAAGTTGAGAGCTTGAGAGCTTGAGTCCTCTCGTATTTTCTACTTATCGATTTCTCATGTACACAACTTTGGAAAGCAACCTGATTAGGCTATAGTTGACAAACTCTATAAATAGAAACGCAACTTCACGTGGTGCTGCAAAAGCATGTGCCTAAGGACAGAGTTATGCAAGTTACGAATCAATGATATTGATAGCAGTAGGTACTATTTTTCCACTTACGATCCTTATCGACATTCACGCTCGATCAAGATATGAAGGAGTATGTAAGAAACTGAAAATCTAAGTTAATGTGTATTCGAAGAACGCCTGAAATTAACGTGACTAAAACAGCCGAGGTTTGAACAAGGGATGGAAAGTTTTGAAAAAATGCAAGAAAAGAGCCCCATTGACGCAAATCTGACGAAGATTTACGTTGCCAATACCAATACATGTAGTGCCTTCAGCCTGGAGGGTTGACGCAGAGTGGACTCAAATGTTGTGACATCCACTCCGGTTTCAATTTCTGAGTATTACACGTGCCGCTGAAGAGGTAAGAAAGAGTGCACGCACCTCCATGAACCTACTGGAGTCATTCCGTGTTACCGCCACATGCATGACGATTCTTGAGTGTTGTACATATCGCTTTAGAACAATGTTGCAGTGAGCTCCACGGTCGCCGTCAATAGGTTTTTCTATCTTCACTTGAGAGAGTAGAGTAGACCAAAAATCACCATCGGTGCGGGCATGAAGGTTATGTTCGCCTTTGCTGTGGTCGGCTCATTCATCCCGAAAGTCGTCTACCACGCGGCGGGCTTCGCCGATGCAGGCGAAAACCAGATGGAGGAAGCGGGGGGGGGAGGTAATCCCGCATGCTTCCTAGACAAAGAACGCTCATGCGGAGGTACAGCTTCTTACGAGTAGACAAAATGCCACTGTAGGCACAAAAGAACTCGCCGAGGCTGGGGCGCCCCCGTTGTGGGGTTTGCCCGGCGCTCCCTTAGTTCGGGCGAGATCGCCTAAATCTACCGTGGCGTTTTCCCATTCATACCGCTTCCGAGCCGTCTTCAACTGGTGAAGCCACAACCGTGGCCAAAACTGCCGGTGCCGAGCCGCCTCCAAAGGGTGCAGCCACAACCGTGGCCAAAACTGCCGGTGCCGAGCCGCCTCCAAAGGGTGCAGCCACAACCGTGGTCAAAACTGCCGTTGTCGAGACGCCTCCAACGGGTGCAGACATGACCCTAGCCGAGGCCCAAGCGCTGATCAACGTTTTATGGCCTGCGTAGTAGGATGAAATAACACACAGTCCATGCTTCCGATGAATTCAATATGCACGCATGATCACGCTCAGTGATTTTGTGATGAAGTACTCACCCGTTTACGCATCTTCAACCCCATAACCACAACACAACGCAGCGGTCAAGGGGTTTCCTTGCCTGTGAGCATGTTTGACTCTTGAGCTCTAACAGCCAACTTGGATAATGAGAGGCCGACATTTTCCGTGGGGTCACTGGAAATGTTGTTGCCGCAGCGGTTTAAAGAGGCGGCGAGTCAACATCCAGCTTGGGGGGTCATGAGCAATCCCTTCGTCGAAGGGAGTTTATTGCCAGGAGGAAAAGAGGGCCAGCGCGAAGCTTTGAAGTCAGCATACGCACGCGCAATAGCGTCATTTAAGACTAGAGTCGCGCCATTCGTCACGCAAGACCTGCTCGTCGCAAGCGTCAAGGCGAAGGCGGAAGGGGAGGCGGAAGTCATTGGCGAGGCGCAACTCGCCTTCGAGGACAACATTCGCCCTTTGAAGTGGGATGCCGAACGCAAAGAGTTCGACCAAATCAAGAAGGCCTTGTGCAATAGTCTCTCGAACATGACGAATTCGTATAGAATCTGCGGAGTGACGCCCTAGCTGTGGAAGGGTCGAGCCCTTGCCTTTGTTTTTTCCCGATAATTTTCATCACATTCAAGAAGACTGATGCTTTGTTTTCCCGAATAGTCACATGATCGTCCAGAGAACCTAAGCCATCATATATTCACCCAAAGTTTTACGTGTGTTAACTTTTTTCGTCTCAATCAGTCTAACGGTGGAAGTGATACAACGCAGCTATTTGCACTGAAAAAGATGTGACAAACGAAGCCTGTTGGCTGCGCGGACTGATGTTGTGTTCGGTCCCAATCGGTAAATTTCCTGGGCGATGCGAACAAACGGAAGTCTTCGAGGTTGGTGCATTTCTGCTGCCAGTGAAGTATAGGGTGTCTCTGCTTCGACCGCAACTGGCGCCCGTTCTGAACGGATCTGCGAATGCACTATGCGATCTTGTTCCTGTATTCTCTTTTGTGTTGTGAGTTGTTTTGTTCATTTTCCTTGCCGTCGTGGTATAACACGGTATATGGAATTCGTAACTGAAACATTTCCCTGATCTATAGTTTCTGGTATAGTAGTAGTGCACTGACTCTTCTCCAGTAAAATTGACCTTGAAAAATGCGGCGTCGCGTGCCTTTGGTTGCGGCGCCGGTTGGCGTCCTTGCTGTCACACCTGTGGAAAAGGTGGTCCAACTCCTTAGCCAGATGAAAGCAACTGGCATAGAGGAGCGCAACTCAGAACAAGTAGAGGCATCAGCATTCGCACAGCATTGTGTGGGTAGCATCCAGAATCTGGAAGAGGATGTGGTGGAAACCAAGGAGAATTATGAGACGGAATCGGTAAAAGATTGGTTCAACAATGAAGCGAACGCTGCGTTCCTTAGTACACCTACCGCGGTTAGAAAAGAAATATTTTGTGAACACCTACCCGCGAGGAAAAATTGTTGAAATGGAACCAGGACCATGACTCAATTCCACGATTGGTGGTTGCACAAAAAATCACGGCAAAATCATATTCACGCTCAGCATGCATTGATTTCCGATACAGAACCTACACACCACGCGCTTCCTCTAAGTAAAAATTGAGGAGCAGGAAGCAATAATCGCAAAATCTGCGTCAACCATTGCTACTCTGGAGGACGAAATAGCAGTCCTCGAAGAAGAAATCGCGAACGACAAAGCAGATGCAAAGGCTGCAAGGGAAGTCCGGGAACTAGATTATGGCGGAATGTTTTTTTCTGTCGCTATTTCATAAGAATACCAACAACTTATAGCAACTTTTTTGTTTTGAACCACCAGCTTCTAATCACATTTTTGTTTTGAACCACCATTGTAAGAATGAGCCTCTTCATCTTTGAGATTACACTGAGTTCCTTCAGATTCTAAGGTCCACATGCTTAATTTGTGACTTCTCTTGTGGTGGTTGGGGTTCTTGACCGAGAATTAATCTTTTTTGCTCAACGGGTAGGTCTCACCTCTGTGAATAAATTGACCTGGTTTATTTGCTTCTTCTAATTACCGAAGTCCGACTTCCAGGCTGCAAATAAGGATTATTCAGAATCACTGGATGCTCTTTCAAGAGCAATCGAAACGCTCAAGTCTGAAAGCGTAACGAATAGTGCAGCGGAGACGCTGTTTGTGCAGTTGAAGGCGGCTAGGTAAGGATTTAGATTTTTTAGATTTGGTTCAGTCATATTTTTTTGATTTGGGTTTGCGAAAAAGTGTTGAGCCTGCGTTCCCCGACTCAAACTAAGACGTTATCCACGCCTCATCAAAGAGAGAGATTCGGTTCATACCCGTATAACGATCCACCGTCTACACCATATAACACAGTTCCATGCGAGCCACAACTACGACTTTGGAGCGGTTCCTTGCAACGGCACCGCAGGGAAAGGCATATGGCTATCAGAGCGCTATGGGTGGAGTTATTGACATGTTGACCGAATTACAATCTAAATTTGACAAGGAACGACAAGATCTTGTTAGCAAGGAGACTGAAGCACAACATGCTTATGATCTCTTAGCGGAGGAGAAGGCAACCAGTAACAAGAATGACGCAGCAACGATCGCAAGAAAAGATGCGGCGAAAGGTGAGTTTCGATATGACGCTGATGAGTTGATTTAGATTTTTTTTGTTGAAAGAAATTTATGTATGTCCCTGGTGGGTCCTAAATTCATATCCAGAGACTCTTTCTCCCTCAGGTAAGGCCGGCGCCAAGAAGGGCGCAGCCGAGGGCGAGAAAGCAGACTTAGTTGCGGACTTAGGTGACACCAAGACGACTTTGAAGGACACAAAGGCAGACTGCAAATTGAACAACGCGTTGTACACAAAGCAGGACGATCTGCGTGCTGGAGAGATTGATGCGCTCACCCAGGCCATCGAAATTATGTCTAGCGGCACTGTCGCAGGCGCTGAAGCCGAGCACGTCAGCCTGTCTCAAAGCAGCTTCTTGCAGCTTGGCGCGGGGATCACTTCGTCTAATGGTAGAAATAGAGATTTGGATTTTTTAGATTTCGGATCACTTAAAAAGACGGGAAGTAGATTCAAATACGTTGATTGGATTTCGCAACTGAGAAAATCATTCTCTTTGCCAACCACAGATGCCCAACAAGGCGAGACTCGTGAGCGAGTTATGCAGATCCTTCTCCAGGGAGCAGAGAAGAACAAGAGCAGAATTTTGAGTTTAGTTGCGGCTCGTGTTGAGGCTAGCCCGTTTAAGAAAGTTCTCAAGATGATCTTCGATATGATCTCCAAGTTGCAGAAGCAATGTACAACTCTTTTTGGATTGTGATTAAAACGACTATTTTATTAGAGTTACACGATTCTCCTGCTGTGCGTTACGGAAACTCTAAATATTCTGAAGACCTACTACATCTTGTTGTACCCGTATCTGCACCTCAACCAACATACAGCTGCCGAAGAAGCCGAGGCCCACGGTTGGTGCCAGGGCAAGTTGTCTAGCTCCAAGATGGAGCTGGATAGCAAAAACGAAGAAGTCGAGGATTTGACCGGGCAATCTGAAGCTCTTACGGCCAAGATTGGCTCTCTCACTGAACTGGTTTCGAAATTGGAAGCCGAGATCAAGTTTCTGACGCAGGATCGTGCCACAGCCACCAAGACTCGTGCTACGCAAAAAGCCGAGAACGAAAAAAAGATCAAGGAGAGCAGTGAAGCTGAAGCGGCAGTAGCCAACGCTATCGGCATTTTGAAGGAGTTTTATGCTGGAGGAGCCAAGAGCGCTGCAGAGGACGAAGGAAAAGAAACGGCGACTGAGGTGTACGGAGGACAACAAGGTACTTGACTGAATGTCAGGACCTTGTCTCTTTAGGTTTTTTAGGAAGTCACTTTCGATGAAGGACACAGAAGTGTACACTCTAGAAAAAGAAAACCACTGTGCATGTGAAAGTATCAACATATCAGCATCGTAGTGCATCTACCCTCATTTTATTCCCCAACATTTCATGACAGCTCAAGCTGGGGGCGTCGTGAATATCATGGAAGTGATTGAAGCGGATTTTGCTCGTGTCGTCGCTGAGACCACTGAGGCGGAGTCGTCGCAGGCTGCTGACTATAAGAAGCTGATGAACAGTTCTGAAGTGACTGTTGCCGTCAAGAAGACTGAAAAGGCGCACAACTCCAAGCTCCTGACGCAGGCCAAAAAGGACTCATCGGCAGTCGGCGAGCAATTGAAATTGATGACCGAGGCAAGGGATGGAGCACAAGTTATGGCTTGTGAAGTTTCGGTCACCAAGAGTAGAGAACAAGAACTTGTTGAACTAGAAAATTGCTTTGTTTTTTCTAAATTTTATGAGTCCAGTACTCCCACCTTCCCATTTCTAAGACCAAGCAACACGACGGATTCAAGAAGCAGTGCTCTGACGGATTGTCCTTCGAGGAACGTATGGAAGCCAGAAAAGCGGAGATTCAATCCCTCAAGGAAGCCTTGGAGGTGCTGAAGAGCAGTGGGGTGTAGAGGAATGAACTTAGATAGATGTTTTAGAAGCTAAATTAATTTTATGTACATGTTGATGTTGTTTAGAAAATTTAGATTTTGATTTTAGGTGTATTTTGATTTAGGTTTCGTGGGGTCTAAAAAGTTTTCTGTAAGAAGTTTAGCGTGGTAGAACATGCAGATGTGAACACGATAATGTACAGTCCTCGTTGCTGTGGCAGTAATGGGGAGGGCAGAGATTTTTTTTCACGTTTCATATTGACAGTTTGCGTCTAGGAGTCAGTCACGCATCTCTTCTGATTTTTCTCACTATTACATTTCGGATTGGCACATTGCTTAACACTTATATTTTTCTCACTAACATTGCGTAAATCCATGAGGAGGATGACTGGGAGGTCACAATGACAACTTTTGTATTTCATTTCATTGCGTTCACACACTCGATACGATTATGGTAAGTTATTATTGTTTCCGGTTATGGCACAAAGACGGTTGGAAAATGCGTAAGGGCTACTAGACATTGGCATACAGGTGGAGATACCGACTCATCACCTGATTGTTGGGCTCACTTTTGTTCGTTATATGGTTCCAGATTTCGGCTGATTCTTCTTCTCTGATACCGATGATTCAAATTCCTTCGTCTTTTGTTACTAAAAACAGTTTCCTGTCAACACAACACCCTTGTTACCACCATTTCTTAGTATAGAGAGGTGGTTGCGGTTACGGGCGGCTAGTTTGATTCGTGGGTGCACAGTGGTTGTACTAAGATCTTCCGAAGACCCTTATGAACAGCAAGATGCGTAGACTCACCTTGCTGTCGGCAGTCGGCGGCGCCACTGCCCGACTAACAACCTCCACTTCAGCGGCTATGGAGGAGCAACTACTCAAAAAGTCCATCAAAGACCTCAAGAAGCAGCCAGAAGGCGCAGGTGATGCAATGGCAAACGTCAGTACACGAGTACGACAGCTGGTCCAGCTCTTGCAGCAACTAGAGGGCGAACTGACAAACGAGTTTGCCTCAGCGCAAGAAGCATACGACAAACAAGCCTGTGAGCATGAAGACACGATCGCGTCATCAAAATCAGCGATCAAGACTGCGGAAACAGAAATTGAGCGCATGGATGTAGCAATACAAAAGAACGTGGCTGACGTTGGTACTCTTACGCAGTGTCGTGGACTCCGTTACTAGTATTCTCAACTTAATACATTTTCGTGGATGGAGATTCCATCACAACGACCACATCTTTCTCTATAAAACTCGAAAAAAATTCCACCAACAAAACACAGCCGTCTACAAGGGGAAGATTAAGACGGAAGAAGAGAAAATAGCAGAGAAGAAACAAGCCATTGAGGATGCAATTGCCCAGCGTAAAGAGGAGCACACTGAATACGCAGATACCGTCAACGAGTTTGAAGCCGCGATTGCCTCAGCAAATATGGCTTACAACGTACTGAGGTTTCTGTCGATCTTGTTTTTCCATCCATAACACAATTTCATGGTCCTCTAGAGGCTAGAACTTTCTCATGTTGTCAATGAAATACGCACCTCCGTCTTATCCGAGGAACATGTAGTATTCGCTAGGGTCTCGTTCTTCAAAAGACTTTTCTTACATCCCAACTTCTCGCCTGCAGGTTCTTAGCGAACAGCAATCCGGCTCCAGAAAGGTCGCGGAGAAGAGCGAGAGCTATTCTTTGCTCTCGCAACAGAACGACCAGAAGGTCTTCCGCAAGTTGAAGAGCGCTATCGCCTTGCTGCCGGTCAATAGTCATCGCCTGACCCCCAACCGGGTAGAGGAGCTTAGCGAGTTCGTCGATCAGCTGACCGGTAGGTATGGGAAGGACAACAAGAAGATGATGTTGTGGTGGAAATTTCCTACTTTTGACTGAGGCACCAGAGCCAGATGAACCTGCATACAGTACTAAATCCGAGGGTCATCAGTAAAAGGAAGTGATCAACAAAGAACATATGCATTCCCACTACAGTAAGTAGTTGTTATCCGTCTCCCTGCATCTACTCTCCTTTCATTCCCCCACGAAGAAGCCTCTCGCTTTGGCTCAGTTTGGTCCCGGCTCCGCCAAGATCATGGGCATTCTGAAGGATATGCGTGGCGAGTACGTCGCCAAGCTGCAGGGCTTGCAGGAGAGTGAGCAAAAGGCCTCGTTGGCCCACGTCCAATTCGTCGAAAAAACAAACAAGATGATCGATGCCTTGACCAAGTCCAAGGAGGACCATGAGGCCAAGCTCAGTGAGACAGAAGCCAAGGAAGAAAAACACAGAAATCAGAAGGCCGCAGCGCAAGATTCCTTGAAGGAGAACCAGGCTTTGCTGAAGGACACAACGGAGGCATTCCGAGCGCTGGCGCGTGTGTGGGCAGATACCAGTGCCAAGTACTAGAAGATGAGTCGTTTTTAGTTGGTTTTAGATTTTTTAGAGATTGTTGTTTGTAGACGCCGTCTACATGAATCTACTTCTATGGACAGAAAGACAAGTACACTGCTTCGCTCATCTTGATAATCCAGGCACACTTCCGAGATGTCGGGTCTGGCTGCCGCTATCGACTTCTTGATGAAGCAGGGAGAAGTGGGTACCCTCATCCAGAAGAACGCGCTTCTGCAGACATCCGCAGTTGCTGTGAGTGTTACGACCTCTTCACCTGTGAATAGGCATAGACGAGTCTGAGATTTTTATAAGACGAAGACCGCATTTTATCATATACTAGATGAACCTATGATTCTGTATTTCACCTTCCATCTCTTTCCATACCCCTCTTTTCCATGTCCCTCTTTCATCTCCCCCGCCAAGAAGGATAGCTATGAAACGGCTTTCTCGAAAATCGTATGGGCCATTGAGGACATGGTTGAGGTTCACAAGACCGAGATGGAAGAGAACATCGAGAAAAAGCAGATGTGCGAAACGGCTATTTTATGACATTTTGGTTGCGATATTCACGTTGCATTTTGAATACAACGAAATGTTCATGTAGTTGTTACTGATTTCTCTTTTCATCGAACTAGACGGAAACAGGAAAAGGTTGATAATGGCTTTGAGAGAGGTGCAGTGTTTCTAGAAGGTTTTCGTATCCTCTAATACCTGCCAGCACAGACGGTGCGGAGCGCAAGCGACTGGCGAAGATCGACACTCTGAAGTCAGCAATTGCTAAGGCTGAAGGCGAAAAGGCCGAGACGGAAGACGCAAAGACGAAGGCTGAGGATGAAAAGACCAAAGCCGAAGATGAGGTGTTTTTCTTGTAGCATTAGGGAGAACAAAATTTCTACTACTTTAGGTTTGAGTCGTAATACTTCTATATCACACTTTTCCATCTACTAGATCATCTTTCAAACGCTTCAACGAAACTTTCATTCCCCTCCCTCACCTACAGACTTCTGCCGGTCAAAAGGAGTGGGAGGAGGCTCGTGATGCCCGTGCTAAGGAATTGTCTGAGCTCGCTGAGTCCATCAAACTGATCGCCGGTGCTATGCGGAGTCTCACCGAGAACGATCCTAGTGGCCGATTCAAGAACGTCATCGTTAAGGCTGATAACAAGGAACAAGAAGAGTTTGCTCTAAGTAGTACAAGGTAGAACAAGGTCAAAACTTTTATATCCTTTCATGTGAAAGTAACCCAACATGAAATACGTCTAACCTCCCCATCCTGCAGATGGTCCAAGACGAGGCCGTAGCAGAGCAGACTGAAGTTACCAAGGCAAAGGCGGATGAGGAAACCGCCTGGGTCAAGGAGAAGAAGGCCTTGTACGATTTGATTCAGTTGAAGATCGGGCAAATCGAAGGCTATGAAAAAGCGATCCGAGATTTGGATGCTGAGATTATTAGGGTACTCAGAAGTTTAGAAATCGTTTTTGTTGTTATAGTACCTACTTTCTCAGAGACTAGATTGATGTCCTTTCTACAATCTTACTCCACCGAAATACTGATCTTAGAAAGTCCTAGGCTCATCTTATTATAGTATCTGCAACTAAACTATTGACCATGAATTCGTGTTTTTCAAAATCTAAATTATCTAAATTTTCCTTCTTCTATCCACAGCTCGACGGCAAGTTGAAGAAGACCCAGGAGATGGAACGCCCCTCCACGGAAGACTGCGAAGTCTTCCTCGGCGCTTTCCAAGGAAAGCAGGATGGCCTGACTAAGGAAATTGAGTCTTTGAACTACGCCAAGGCAGAGCTCTCGGGGTGGCAGAACCAGAGCGTCGAAGCCCAGCACTTCGATGCGCAGGAAGTTGCGCCGGCAGTGTAGAGAAGTGGACTTTCAGATGAATGATAGTGGTGGATGAGAGTTCTTTGGGAATCGCGTGGTAGGATGGGAACTCTTTAGGAGCACCTTTTTGGGGAGAACTATACTTCCAGAGGGTTCGTTTGTAGTGAAGCGAATTCCTGCTATGTTCTGAGAGAAAATCATGTGTCATATAATGTCCAAGATGTTAAAAAATAATGATTAGTTTACTAGATTTAAATTCCGGTTTTGTGTGGAGATTCAGACTTGCACGTCGTTTGATATTGATCCTTTCAGCAACCTTTCACGAGATTTTTAAAGTTACAGATTGTGTCATATTCTCCTTTCAAGCAAAAGCATGTGTTTAGGTACTATTCAGTCTATTTACAACACTCCTTTCAAGCATTTGGATACTTACTCATTCTTGCAGAGCAGACAGCTTTTCGACTTAGGTAATCTCAGCAACAGTCTTGTTTTTTCGGTTAGGTCCAATTTTTCGTGTGCAATCGTAATCTAGTGAGCTAATCACGACACGGAGAAGAGACGTTGATGGTCATTCAGCTTGGAGCACGGTACGACGTTCAAACGAAGTGTTCTTCGTCGGTGATATTCTCGGTGCATCTTGGAATGTAGAGGAACTTGGAATGTAGAGGCACTCTGTGTTGATCGCTTAGTTGGTTGATTGAGTCTTCTCTTTTAGCTACGGCGCTGTCTTTCTCTTTGCGTCTGTGAAACGTTTGACTTCTCTGCGCCCACCCAAGCTGGTGCGTGGAATCTTCGAAAAAATTTGTGATGTAATGTAATGTTGTAGTGCGTATCACTTCTTGATGGGTCGCAATCGGTATCGTGGTGAACTTCAAAGGTGTCTTGATTCGCGAAGCGCTAAAACTCTAGGTCTCATGTGCGGTCTGTAAAGGCAGGCATCGGTGTGTTTGAGAGATGAATGCGCACTAGCAGTAGTACCGTCCCCCTTTCTCACGCAATTGTCCCTCATACCAGCATCTTCCGTGGCCAAGAAATTCTCACTTTTGACGCAGACCAACCAATGTTAGAACACCTTATTTATATTTCCTGAAGCACTCAGAGTCAGCGTCAGAGTGAGTACTAACATCATCAAGATGTTGCGTCTTTACGCGTTTTATCTTTACGCGTTTTGCGGCCAGCTTCTTCTGCAACCAAGAGGCGCTTCGGCTTCGGCTCAACCTACGTCGGTGGTAGGAGATCCAGATGCCACGACTCAACCTACGCTGGCGGAGTTCAGTTGGTTATGGCTTGTTATTCTCTTATCACGAGTTGTTTTTGTTTGGCCCGCTATCGTCTTTTTGCCGCGAGATGTGATAAAAATATAGAATATGATATTTCCAAAATCATGGACACAAAATTTAGTTAGCAAACAATGCGGCACCAAGCTACTACCTCCCTACCTCGAAGAACCTCCGATGAATTCGGACTTAACCCGACTGCGCCGCTTCGTCATGCAAATGTTGGCCTTTTCGCGAATCTCCACATCTTCGCTCTGGCGGCACAATTGGGATGTCATTCTGCTGATGAGTCAATCCGAAACAAGCTGTCCTCGAAAAATTGGCATCTTGGAAGCAGGCAGCGACCGATGAAAGGTGGTCTATATGCAGAAGGATGCCCTACTGCTCAGTTTTACGATCAGCGGAACCGTACCATTGGCAATTATACAACTGTCGATTGCTATTTTCTCCCTGTGGATGCAGATATTTGCAAAGTCCTTGGACGTTCGCAAGAGGAAGTTGCAGAAACGCACGATTCTTTTTTTATTAAGGCACATCTACTTTGAGTAAGGGACAGTCACTCGCCTTTTTCTAATTTTTTAGATGCAAGAGAGAAAGACACTCGCCTTTTTTTTCACTTCACAAAGTAGAAAAAAAAGGCGAGTGTCTTTCTCTCTTGCATCTAAAAATTTATGTTCAAAGAGAAAATGCTACTCTCGTCCTCTACCTCTAATATGGAGTATTTCAGCGATTCAGTGCGTGCTCTATTTGTGCCGAATCCGGTATTGGAGAAGGAGATTGAAAACTTGCAACGCGGTTTCATGGAGCACATACTAACACCGGAGAACGGTTTGGACAAAGGCGCACGCATCCTTGGGATTCAGATTCGTTACGGTCCTTTGTCACGCTAGATTATACGAGAGTGGACTGATGTCCAAGGAGAGCTTGAAACAAGGAGAGCCTCTTCTAATTCCCTCAAGGAGGAGACAAAGTCGATGTTCTTGTACAACAAGTTGTTAGTTTCGACCGAGTAGATACATACATTCTTCATACAAAAACAGAAGAATGAGAAATAGAATCATGAGTTAGAAGATGAGAAGCTCGAAGATGAGAGCTGTAAACCTTCGTAACTGTGACTGCCGGGCTTCCGGTCCCCCATATGATAATTCCCACAATTTTTGAACTCATGAAAAATCTTCTAATTCCCTCAAGGAGACAAAGTCGATGCTGAGGGGGCTGTTGCTGTCAGCGTGAACCAAGTCGCGCAGGCGATTCACGAACAGGCGAGGAGGCATAAATGCAGTATTGTTCATCTCATGACGAGCGACAAAAACTCTGCACGTGTGCACCTCTTGGAAGAAGCTCTTGCAGCTCTAAGCCATGATACGGATCGAGAACGTGCTGAACGTCTCGCTCTCAAGATTTTCACAGTTGATGACATCCCTACGGGCGTCGTTACCTCTCATGAGGGTTTCCGGCTTCTCGCGGAAACCTATTGGATGGCCCGCCATGCGACGGTCGTTTTGGGCATGGTGAGCTCCGACAGTTACGGAAAGACATATATGTTGCTACGAGCTTCTTGGAAATTACTTAACTGAGATGATTTAGGCACATTGGCGAATAGACTCGAATCATCATCAATGAAGAGGGATAAATGATTCCCTATTTTTCCACCAGCACTACTTCTCAGAAGTGTTAATCTTCTTCTAAAATCTTTTTCGCTGGATAGTCGAGCTTCGTGGAGTAGAGACATTAACGTTACCAAGTAGTTCCTCGAGAACAGCTTCTTTGCCATACTACGACTTTGACAAGATCATGCCGTATGACCCCAGTACTATTGCGCATAATGGCTGGCCCGCTTATTACCATAGTATGGAGATTAGGATTGAGCAACAGCATCGAGACCATCAAGAACGGAAAAATCGAACTTCGTCTCCGCCCTCCGTGTTGTTAAGGGTCGGCTTTTGGTATTTCTGTTCCCGTTAGTCTTGTCGCCCCATGGGAAAAAAGGGACCACGACTAGCGGGGCACCCCTAACACCAAGACCCTACCTCTACTGTTGTGTGTATCTTCCACAGAGGTAGGAAGACGGAGAGTGGGTAAAGCAAGGGTGGAAGAAATGGTTCCATCCTTGCCGCAGATCACCAGGAATGTGTGCAAGAATTTTGGTGAAGTTGTGGGGAAGGCTAGTACAACATCTTCTGCTACGAGATCCTCAAGCGCCACACGTGCCTTAGCCTTGTCTGGTAAGGTTTCGGGTGACGCAATTTTACTTCTTGATGTCGACAATGATGACAAGGAACGAGAAGTAGATGGCGCGAATAGTACCAAGACTACTACAACTAGTAAAAGATCTTGGTATCAGCCAGTGAATGCCTATGTCGCGGACGTGGAGGTTTCAACAATAAAGAGTCGGAGGACAGTTCGTCGACCTGTCATGCTACCAGGAGAAAAAGCGATGATGTCCGAGTGCATTGAAGAGCACAGCTTGGCTTACGCAAAATTTGGAGGTGGGGAGACTTTAATACGTGTACGTCGGGAGAAGAAGAAGAACAACAACAACAACAGTACAGCTTCTAGTAGATCTGGGAATAGAAGTACGCGTCTTGGTACCACTACTGGAGCAACATCTTGGTCCATGGCTACAGATTCAGACTCCGGCATTTATCGTTTGTTAACCCTCCGTGAAGGGTGTAAGGCAGCAACGAAAAGCATTGGAAGAGATTCACAGTCGAAAGTTGTGCCCTATTGGACCAGGCTTACGCTACCAGAACGCGGACTGCCGAAGAGGAGCAATGAAGAGACCGATGCTTCTGAAGATGATAGTGAGGAGGGAGGCGAGGGCACTGAAGATGAGGGAGAGGACACTCGCGTCAAGAATGAATCTTCAACTACTGAAGCAAATGAAGAAGACCAAGAGGAACACCAAGACTATGAAGAAGAGTCATCCTTAGAACAAGAGGAAGAAGAGTCCTCCTCAGATGAACAAGATTTGCCGCGTCAACTATTTGTGATGGGGAATGCTTCGCCACGTGGCAGCATATCAGACAAGGAGCACGTAGGGAAACATCTGGGATGGCAGTGGACCTGCTCAGAAAAATTCAGCTTGGGCGAATTCGTGCAATATCCGTTCGATCCACATTTCGCGGAATCTGTTATGGCGGACACAACATATTAGATATCGGGAAAACCTATTTGGCGCTTCTTTGCCATGCGCTAGCCCCTCACGTTTGCCTTGGCTGTTGCCCCTTTTGTTCCGCCTCGCTGTCCCCAAGTCTTTGTTCTCCTTCGCCTTCCTTACCTCCACCCTCCTGCCGTCACCTCCCTGCCCACACCTCCTAACCCCCATCTCCCAGCGCTATTCGTTCGATCCACTATGCCCGAAGACGCAGGAATTGTTTTTCGTAAGTAATGATTGCTTAATTTCCTTTCATTGTCATTTCAGAACAAATCAATAGATCATCTACTGTCGGGTTACCACTTTATAGCTATACTTCTTCATTTTTTTTCAACTTCATCACTGTCTTAAAGATGTAGTTGTAGTTGGTGTCTCAAGCACCTCAAGGTTGTTAGTACTCCTTTTTAAAGTTAGAGTACTGCAGCATTGCAACAAAGAGCTTGTGAGTAGTGAACTGGAGGCTTGATGTTATAAATGGATCTCCTCCTCTACTACGTCTGCTAGATTAATTTGAATTAGAGTTGTTTCATGTTATACTTCATCAAGAATCTTCTTCTCTAGGACTCTAGAACTAGAAGTCTAGAACGGAATATATCAAAATCTTCTCTAATCCCTGCTGGTCATCTGTGAATCCTTGGGTATGTCCTGCAGAGGGTTCCCCTGGGAAGCGCAAAGATGAGGTCTTCAACATCCCGAACAAGCTGTTCGTACGGGTTTCGTTCAACGTTACTCATTCTACTAGGACAACTGCTTCTAGTACGGGGATGAATATGCGAGGACAACTTCATTCTTTAGCACTTGGGGAGTTTATCGCTGACAGCGTTCGAGAGAGCGAACGACTGCAGGACTATGCGAGATTTGCACAGAAAGTGAAGCAGCGTACTCAACATCTTGAAGGCGGTCCTGTAGAAGAGCAGAGCCTAGAAATGACTTCTGCAGAAGCGTGGGTGCCAACAAGCATTGTTGCGGCAGAACCTGACGCAACTTCCACAACTGGAACTACCTCTTCTTCACCTCGGCTACAACTAAGAAAAGACTTTGTAACCTCGAAGTTTGTGAAGAGCCGAAGGAGAAGGGGCGCGATGTTCTTCGATCTAGTACCCGGTGCTTGGCATGACGGATTTCCGGTGTACGAATCTTCTTTGCCTGAGACGTCTACTAGCGGGAGCAAGACTTCCTTTCTAGAACAAGAGCGGCAAGATGAAGCTGGTACGAACGCAAGCACGTCTTC